TAAAATTCACTTCTATTCGTAATTTTCTTTGAGATAGCAGTATAATAAAATTTTGACAAGTCTGTAAAGTACCTACATTATTTTTGCACGCCGATGTTGAAGGCAAAATAAGAGGACGTACCTATGTTATTAGAAAATGACAACTATCTGTACCTTATTTACGCAAATAAATAATATACTTATGAGAGTTGCCCGAAATCTATCGAGCGTCCTCGATCAATTTCGAGAGTTACTCGAAATCTATCGAGCGTCCTCAATAACTTTCGAGCGTCCTCGATAACATCCGAGAGTTGCCCGAAATCTATCGAGCGTCCTCGATAATTTTCGAGAGTTACTCGAAATCTATCGAGCGTCCTCGATCACTTTCGAGAGTTACTCGAAATCTATCGAGCGTCCTCGATCACTTTCGAGAGTTACTCGAAATCTATCGAGCGTCCTCGATCACTTTCGAGAGTTACTCGAAATCTATCGAGCGTCCTCGATCACTTTCGAGAGTTACCCGAAATCTATCGAGCGTCCTCGATCACTTTCGAGAGTTACTCGAAATCTATCGAGCGTCCTCGATCACTTCCGGGAGTTACTCGAAATCTATCGAGCGTCCTCGAAATCTATCGAGCGTCCTCGAAATCTATCGAGCGTCCTCGAAATCTTTCGAGCATCCTCGATCACTTTCGAGAGTTACTCGAAATCTATCGAGCGTCCTCAATAATTTTCGAGAGTTACTCGAAATCTATCGAGCGTCCTCGATCACTTTCGAGCGTCCTCGATAACATCCGAGAGTTACTCGAAATCTATCGAGCGTCCTCGATCACTTCCGAGAGTTACTTGAAATCTATCGAGCGTCCTCGAAATCTTTCGAGCGTCCTCGATCACTTTCGAGAGTTACTCGAAATCTATCGAGCGTCCTCGATCACTTCCGAGAGTTACTCGAAATCTGTCGAGCGTCCTCGAAATCTTTCGAGCGTCCTCGATCACTTTCGAGAGTTACTCGAAATCTATCGAGCGTCCTCGATCACTTTCGAGAGTTACTCGAAATCTATCGAGCGTCCTCGATCACTTTCGAGCGTCCTCGATAACATCCGAGAGTTACTCGAAATCTATCGAGCGTCCTCGATCACTTCCGAGAGTTACTTGAAATCTATCGAGCGTCCTCGAAATCTTTCGAGCGTCCTCGATCACTTTCGAGAGTTGCCCGAAATCTATCGAGCGTCCTCGATAATTTTCGAGAGTTACTCGAAATCTATCGAGCGTCCTCGATCACTTTCGAGAGTTACTCGAAATCTATCGAGCGTCCTCAATAACTTTCGAGCGTCCTCGATAACATCCGAGAGTTGCCCGAAATCTATCGAGCGTCCTCGATAATTTTCGAGAGTTACTCGAAATCTATCGAGCGTCCTCGATCACTTCCGAGAGTTACTTGAAATCTATCGAGGGTCCTCGAAATCTTTCGAGCGTCCTCGATCACTTTCGAGAGTTACTCGAAATCTATCGAGCGTACTCGATCACTTTCGAGAGTTACTCGAAATCTATCGAGCGTCCTCGATCACTTTCGAGAGTTACTCGAAATCTATCGAGCGTCCTCGAAATCTTTCGAGCGTCCTCGATCACTTTCGAGAGTTACTCGAAATCTATCGAGCGTCCTCGAAATCTTTCGAGCGTCCTCGATCACTTTCGAGAGTTACCCGAAATCTATCGAGCGTCCTCGATCACTTTCGAGAGTTACTCGAAATCTATCGAGCGTCCTCGAAATCTTTCGAGCATCCTCGATCACTTTCGAGAGTTACTCGAAATCTATCGAGCGTCCTCAATAATTTTCGAGAGTTACTCGAAATCTATCGAGCGTCCTCGATCACTTCCGAGAGTTACTTGAAATCTATCGAGCGTCCTCGAAATCTATCGAGCGTCCTCAATAACTTTCGAGCGTCCTCGATAACATCCAAGAGTTGCCCGAAATCTATCGAGCGTCCTCGATAATTTTCGAGAGTTACTCGAAATCTATCGAGCGTCCTCGATCACTTTCGAGAGTTACTCGAAATCTATCGAGCGTCCTCGAAATCTTTCGAGCATCCTCGATCATTTCCGAGAGTTGCTTGAAATTTATCGAGCGTCCTCGATCACTTTCGAGAGTTACTCGAAATCTATCGAGCGTCCTCGATCACTTTCGAGAGTTACTCGAAATCTATCGAGCGTCCTCGATCACTTTCGAGAGTTACCCGAAATCTATCGAGCGTCCTCGATCACTTTCGAGCATCCTCGATAATATTTGAGTTACTCGAAATCTATCGAGCGTCCTCGATCACTTTTGAGCGTCCCCGATAACTTTCGAGAGTTACTCGAAAACTATCGGGCGTCCTCGATCACTTTCGAGAGTTACTCGAAATCTATCGAGCGTCCTCGATCGAATCAAGTAAGTAATCAACCGAAATGCATGTGTTGTGACCTTAGGGTCACAACACATGCATTTCGCGCGAGAGGTACCTACGATCTTTGGTTTATGATTACGATGTCTTACTCCCAAAGAGTATAAGTATAGGGGATCTCACTCCCTTTGCGGCATTCTAATGTACCGTCACGTACGTTTGCGCATATAGTAGGTACATTACCACCGCTGTGGGCTTGCATTAGATAAATAATAGCATATCGTTGTGTGAACCAAGACAGTTATTGATGTCCCTGGGACGCGCCGGACTTCAGTGTTCCGGTGTTTTCATGATTGTATCTACTGTAGATCCTGACTTATAGGAGTTTCAGCGGTTTTAGGAGGAGGGCTTGTCCTATAAAAAAAATAGCATACGCCTTACACAAAGACGTCATGTCCGTAGTATAATATTGCGCATTTACTAGGTATACAGACAGCTAAATACCTACGTTTTATCTTACTGATCGTATAGGTAGTCACTAGTCACATGCCAGAGTTGTATTTGTATACAACTATTCATTGGTCACGTGTTAATGATAAAAAGGTCAATGCAGTTGGACTATTTGATACCATTCAACAGTTGTGGCTTGTGTTACATTTGAATGACATACTTACAATTAGGTACAAGCATTGTTTCCTTCCTGTATGTACCTACCTACGCACGGATTCGTGATGAGGACATATTTTTATTTTACATTTTTATGCCGATGACGGAGCTCGACATTTGTGTAAATACTTTACACATGAGACTATTTCCGAAGTATATTAATTAAAAAAGTATTACTTTTTATTATTATTCACTTTTGTTGACTATTTTTAGAATCAGGACTAGATTGAAACATAATTTACGAAGTTTGTGTTAAATCTAATACATATATAATAATACGTGTAATTTCATGTGTCTACCCTCAAGGGAGAAATGCGTGTGGTACATAGTACTTTGACAGTATATCGTGTAGTTGATCTAAACTACCAAAGTAATTTTCATCGTAACACACAATAATTATTTATTTGCATAATGAGGAGGTTTCAGAGGAGACAAAGTTTAGTAAAAAACAGTATGTTTATACTTCATCAAAAATTTATTGCAAATTATATGAAATTTAAAATACACTGATGCTGAAAATAGTTTTAGATCAATACCAAGTGTTCATAAGATCACATCTTGTATGAGCTTACAATGTAACTTTTTAGATAAATAATTTGAAATTAGTTCTTCTTATTTGCATTCAAATATAAGTAATCCTTTGGTAAAAACTGCCACTTTCGTGCCACTCAAAAGTGAAAAGTCATATAAAAATGTGGACAGGAAGAATCTTAAAACACGACAATTCTCCTTTTCGTCACCAGTGTGGGCTGGTATCAACTCTAACACAAAACGACATTAACTTGGAATGCATTTGCCATAACTCAAGGACAACCAACAAGGAATGGTAGCATATGGCTGAGTTTTGCAAATATACAATGTTTACAAGAATGATCATACTATTGATTGACCTGACTGCACCTGTCCTGGATGTAGATAATACATTTACATTACATTCATGATTGCACACAATCTTTGAGACAGATATGGGTTCATATATTGTTATTTGTTATCTGCATCAAGCATAGACGGGATCATTATTCTTATGAAGTGTATCAGTCTTGTCTGCATTAGTAATAGGGTAGATGATGATTTTTTATTTTAATGTCCATCTGGTAGATTATTTTAAAACATTAGACACATATTTTTTTCTCAGGGAAATAAATACTTCGAAATATCGCGCTACGTCACTTCTAGGTATGTTATATACTTACTTAGAAATGACGTAGTTATATCCCACTTTCAAACTTTTATTTGTTTATTGTTGTCTTATATGACAGTAAAAAATACGTGTCTTATATTTTTACATTACCTAACTGATGGACTTAATCGATTTATAATTATCATCATCCCTATTCTTGGCTTTGACTTGGAATTGAAAGTATGCCTTGCCAACTTGTTTTGTGTTGCATAAATTACCTTTTATCACAAAGTGTTGTCATTAAATTTAAAATATATTAATATATTAATTAATTAATATAAAATGTGAAAGAAATTTGACTATCATTAAACATCCAATTATTATTAAGCTACATTTATACATTTAGTTTTGTAAATCTACAATACTTATTAAAATCATTTTATCTACAATTACTTTTCCTCAATATATAAGTTTAACTACACAACAACACATTTACTCTTTGAGGAGTGACAATAAATTTGTCATATGAGGTAATTTATATTATTCCCAAAAACAAGAATACCTATCTATAATAATAAAAATTCAATGCAGGTACTATGTTACACATTTGAAGACAGTTTTGCATCTTCAATAAAGCTGATAACACAATCAGTTGATATACCATGCAAAAACCAACTTGATAACTGTGCCTTTATCTGGATATATACCTTAGTAAGCACGCTATTAAGCACATTTTTGCTATTACAAAATAAATAAATTACAGTATTATAACAGTACATAAATTAACTAGTTATAATTAGACATTTAGTGCAGGTCATGAGTTGTGTGGCACAACAATACGATCACTCCTCTTTTCAGCTTCTTTGATTGGCATTGGCCTTAGTGAATTTTTCTATATCATCCAGTGACCTCTTGGCCTTCGATGATATATCATCCATTGATCTCCGTGCAGTGGAAGTAATGTCATCAAGAGATTTCTTTGTGTGTGATAATATTCATCTGTGCTTTTACATGCTGTACTTGCCAGTTCCTTTATTTCCGAGTCTATTTTACCAATGACCCATTCAATAGCTTGGCGACCTTTGCCAGCATTCAAAGATATTTTGTTAGTTAAGAGATCTTCCATGTAGCTACTAAGTGGTACTCCCTGAAAAAAATATGATTGTTAACACTGGTACTGAAACATTAGATAAGGCAGGGAGCACTAGACCTGGTGTATTTTAAATTCACTTCTACCCCCAAATTGATTTTAAATTAAATAATACACCTATTTGTATAAGTTTTAAGTCATAATAAGAATATAGTATTAATCTTTTTTATGAGACTTGCATGTGTTATGGAACTAGAGAGCTAATTGGAATATAATAGCATTTGTTTACTGTCATGCAAACATAATTAAAGAGTGAAAATGTAGCTTTTTATATACTATAAATTATAAAGATAACTTACTTGTACTGTGACTACAGCTTCCTGTTTTAGCAAGGTTTTGGAAGTATCAGATGGATGCGGTGTGTACCGTACAGTCTCATCAACAGCAATGTACCGACAGAATGTGAGGTTTGTTGTTTTTAAGGTCATCTGTCGTTCATTTGGGTTTACTTCAGATTTTTCACTAGCGTAGCAAATTTTCGCAGTTCCAATGAGCTAAAAATAAAATATTATGTAAATTAGTTAAATCTTTCAACACATTCACGAAACTAAAGGTTAATCCACATTTTTGGAAGCAATGTAATAATTAAAACGTAATGTTGCGAAACTTACTGCTTGTGCCCATCTCGGGAAAAACCATTTCGAACTGACGAGTCTGTGTGTGACTAAAACCCCATCCACAACCTTCCTTTCGATTACATCGGTTCCAATAACTGCGGGGTTCATAGGATTGGGGTATTTTCTCCATGCTGCTTGAGCAACCGTCTCCCACGGATGGCTGTAAAACGAACAAAGACTTATGACTGATTGAAAGGATAGATAATATTTTGTGAGTTCTAGCCTCACAAATTCAAGGTTGCGTCATAATATCAATCGTCACAACTTACTTGAAAGTGTGTTCTGAAGTCCAAATCTTCATTTTAGTGCCTAATTGTCTACGAAATTAATCAATAATTTAGAGATAATTATCAAAATTATCTCATTAGTGGCCTGGTTTTTTCCTTGAACTTCCGTTACATATTAGGTAGTCACATTTATACACAGACGACCTTTATCCTCTGTGTCGAGGTTTGAAGTGACCAATTTCTTATCTGTGAATCTACTTTACTTTCGAGAGTTACTCGAAATCTATCGAGCGTCCTCGAAATCTTTCGAGCATCCTCGATCACTTTCGAGAGTTACTCGAAATCTATCGAGCGTCCTCAATAATTTTCGAGAGTTACTCGAAATCTATCGAGCGTCCTCGATCACTTCCGAGAGTTACTTGAAATCTATCGAGCGTCCTCGAAATCTATCGAGCGTCCTCAATAACTTTCGAGCGTCCTCGATAACATCCAAGAGTTGCCCGAAATCTATCGAGCGTCCTCGATAATTTTCGAGAGTTACTCGAAATCTATCGAGCGTCCTCGATCACTTTCGAGAGTTACTCGAAATCTATCGAGCGTCCTCGAAATCTTTCGAGCATCCTCGATCATTTCCGAGAGTTGCTTGAAATTTATCGAGCGTCCTCGATCACTTTCGAGAGTTACTCGAAATCTATCGAGCGTCCTCGATCACTTTCGGAGTTACTCGAATCTATCGAGCGTACTCGAAATCTATCGAGCGTCACCCGAAATCTATCGAGCGTCCTCGATCACTTTCGAGCATCCTCGATAATATTTGAGTTACTCGAAATCTATCGAGCGTCCTCGATCACTTTTGAGCGTCCCCGATAACTTTCGAGAGTTACTCGAAAACTATCGGGCGTCCTCGATCACTTTCGAGAGTTACTCGAAATCTATCGAGCGTCCTCGATCGAATCAAGTAAGTAATCAACCGAAATGCATGTGTTGTGACCTTAGGGTCACAACACATGCATTTCGCGCGAGAGGTACCTACGATCTTTGGTTTATGATTACGATGTCTTACTCCAAAGAGTATAAGTATAGGGGATCTCACTCCCTTTGCGGCATTCTAATGTACCGTCACGTACGTTTGGCATATAGTAGGTACATTACCACCGCTGTGGGCTTGCATTAGATAAATAATAGCATATCGTTGTGTGAACCAAGACAGTTATTGATGTCCCTGGGACGCGCCGGACTTCAGTGTTCCGGTGTTTTCATGATTGTATCTACTGTAGATCCTGACTTATAGGAGTTTCAGCGGTTTTAGGAGGAGGGCTTGTCCTATAAAAAAAAATAGCATACGCCTTACACAAAGACGTCATGTCCGTAGTATAATATTGCGCATTTACTAGGTATACAGACAGCTAAATACCTACGTTTTATCTTACTGATCGTATAGGTAGTCACTAGTCACATGCCAGAGTTGTATTTGTATACAACTATTCATTGGTCACGTGTTAATGATAAAAAGGTCAATGCAGTTGGACTATTTGATACCATTCAACAGTTGTGGTTGTGTTACATTTGAATGACATACTTACAATTAGGTACAAGCATTGTTTCCTTCCTGTATGTACCTACCTACGCACGGATTCGTGATGAGGACATTTTTTATTTTACATTTTATGCCGATGACGGAGCTCGACATTTGTGTAAATACTTTACACATGAGACTATTTCCGAAGTATATTAATTAAAAAAGTATTACTTTTTTTATTATTCACTTTTGTTGACTATTTTTAGAATCAGGACTAGATTGAAACATAATTTACGAAGTTTGTGTTAAATCTAATACATATATAATAATACGTGTAATTTCATGTGTCTACCCTCAAGGGAGAAATGCGTGTGGTACATAGTACTTTGACAGTATATCGTGTAGTTGATCTAAACTACCAAAGTAATTTTCATCGTAACACACAATAATTATTTATTTGCATAATGAGGAGGTTTCAGAGGAGACAAAGTTTAGTAAAAAACAGTATGTTTATACTTCATCAAAAATTTATTGCAATTATATGAAATTTAAAATACACTGATGCTGAAAATAGTTTTAGATCAATACCAAGTGTTCATAAGATCACATCTTGTATGAGCTTACAATGTAACTTTTTAGATAAATAATTTGAAATTAGTTCTTCTTATTTGCATTCAAATATAAGTAATCCTTTGGTAAAAACTGCCACTTTCGTGCCACTCAAAAGTGAAAAGTCATATAAAAATGTGGACAGGAAGAATCTTAAAACACGACAATTCTCCTTTTCGTCACCAGTGTGGGCTGGTATCAACTCTAACACAAAACGACATTAACTTGGAATGCATTTGCCATAACTCAAGGACAACCAACAAGGAATGGTAGCATATGGCTGAGTTTTGCAAATATACAATGTTTACAAGAATGATCATACTATTGATTGACCTGACTGCACCTGTCCTGGATGTAGATAATACATTTACATTCATTCATGATTGCACACAATCTTTGAGACAGATATGGGGTTTCATATTGTTATTTGTTATCTGCATCAAGCATAGACGGATCATTATTCTTATGAAGTGTATCAGTCTTGTCTGCCATTAGTAATAGGGTAGATGATGATTTTTTATTTTAATGTCCATCTGGTAGATTATTTTAAAACATTAGACACATATTTTTTTTTCAGGGAAATAAATACTTCGAATATCGCGCTACGTCACTTCTAGGTATGTTATATACTTACTTAGAAATGACGTAGTTATATCCCACTTTCAAACTTTTATTTGTTTATTGTTGTCTTATATGACAGTAAAAAATACGTGTCTTTATTTTTACATTACTAACTGATGGACTTAATCGATTTATAATTATCATCATCCCTATTCTTGGCTTTGACTTGGAATTGAAAGTATGCCTTGCCACTTGTTTTGTGTTGCATAAATTACCTTTTATCACAAAGTGTTGTCATTAATTTAAGAATATATTAAATATATTAATTAATTAATATAAATGTGAAGAAATTTGACTATCATTAAACATCCAATTATTATTAAGCTACATTATACATTTAGTTTTGTAAATCTACAATACTTATTAAAATCATTTTATCTACAATTATTTCCTCAATATATAAGTTTAACTACACAACAACACATTTTACTCTTTGAGGAGTGACAATAAATTTGTCATATGAGGTAATTTATATTATTCCCAAAAACAAGAATACCTATATATAATAATAAAAATTCAATGCAGGTACTATGTTACACATTTGAAGACAGTTTTTGCATCTTCAATAAAGCTGATAACACAATCAGTTGATATACCATGCAAAAAACCAACTTGATAACTGTGCCTTTATCTGGATATATACCTTAGAAGCACGCTATTAAGCACATTTTTGCTATTACAAAATAAATAAATTACAGTATTATAACAGTACATAAATTAACAAGTTATAATTAGACATTTAGTGCAGGTCATGAGTTGTGTGGCACAACATACGATCACTCCTCTTTTCAGCTTCTTTGATTGGCATGGCCTTAGTGAATTTTTCTATATCATCCAGTGACCTCTTGCCTTCGATGATATATCCCATTGATCTCCGTGCAGTGGAAGTAATGTCATCAAGAGATTTCTTTGTGTGTGATAATAGTTCATCTGTGCTTTTACATGCTGTACTTGCCAGTTTTATTTCCGAGTCTATTTTACCAATGACCCATTCAATAGCTTGGCGACCTTTGCCAGTTCAAAGATATTTTGTTAGTTAAGAGATCTTCCATGTAGTACTAAGTGGTACTCTCCTGAAAAAAATATGATTGTTAACACTGGTACTGAACACATAGATAAGGCAGGGAGCACTAGACTGGTGTATTTAAATTCACTTCCTACCCCCAAATTGATTTTAAATTAAATAATACCCTATTTGTATAAGTTTTAAGTCATAATAAGAATATAGTATTAATCTTTTTATGAGACTTGCATGTGTATGGAACTAGAGAGCTAATTGGAAATAATAGCATTTGTTTACTGTCATGCAAACATAATTAAAGAGTGAAAATGTAGCTTTTTATATACTATAAATTATAAAGATAACTATTGTACTGTGACTACAGTTCCTGTTTTAGCAAGGTTTTGGAAGTATCAGATGGATGCGGTGTGTACCGTACAGTCTCATCAACAGCAATGTACCGACAGAATGTGAGGTTTGTTGTTTTTAAGGTTCTGTCGTTCATTTGGGTTTACTTCAGATTTTCACTAGCGTAGCAAATTTTTCGCAGTTCCAATGAGCTAAAAATAAAATATTATGTAAATTAGTTAAATTTCAACACATTCACGAAACTAAAGTTAATCCACATTTTTGGAAGCAATGTAATAATTAAAACGTAATGTTGCGAAACTTACTGCTTGTGCCCATCTCGGGAAAAACCATTTCGAACTGACGAGTCTGTGTGTGACTAAAACCCCATCCACAACCTTCCTTTCGATTACATCGGTTCCAAAACTGCGGGGTTATAGGATTGGGGTATTTTCTCCATGCTGCTTGAGCAACCGTCTCCCACGGATGGCTGTAAAACGAACAAAGACTTATGACTGATTGAAAGGATAGATAATATTTTGTGAGTTCTAGCCTCACAAATTCAAGGTTGCGTCATAATATCAATCGTCACAACTTACTTGAAAGTGTGTTCTGAAGTCCAAATCTTCATTTTAGTGCCTAATTGTCTACGAAATTAATCAATAATTTAGAGATAATTATCAAAATTATCTCATTAGTGGCCTGGTTTTTTCCTTGAACTTCCGTTACATATTAGGTAGTCACATTTATACACAGACGACCTTTATCCTCTGTGTCGAGGTTTGAAGTGACCAATTTCTTATCTGTGAATCTACTAAATGAAAACGTTTTTAAAGAAAACAGGAAACTACTATTTAGAAGTAACAATGTTATTGTTAATTTTAAAACGAAATTATTTGTTGGCCTCAAAAGCTGCAACATCTGCAACGATGGACACCAATTTTAACTAATATAAATCAGACTAGATGTTCCGATTTTTATTTAAAAACAAAATTGTTAAGTTTTTAAAACTTACCAAATTAGACATATTTTTCTTATGGTAACACGTTAGTTTAGGAACGCGGAACACGGAATTACAAATTGATTTTCTATTTATTTTTAATTAATATAGTGACTCCCATATTTAATCATCAATGGTTTAAAATAAAATGATATCGTATGGATATATCTAATTAGGGATTTTTTAAATCTTGAACCTCTGCTGTTTTTCATTTTTACATTGTAGCGGGAAAATTTAAAATGTTGGTCTAACTTTAAGTTCATTTGAAGGTTGACTGATTGACGTTTTAGTTTATTGACAATCTCAATTTCGAATTTGACATATTGTTCAATTTGGTCTAAGTGGAGTGTTTGGGCAGTGCAAGATTTCTAATATTTTTAGTGAATTACGAGAACAATTTAACAGTGAAGTGAAAATTGATACAGCCGCCACGGGAATATTATGTTTCTTTTAGTCCAATAATTGTGTACGTATCGCTTTTTAACTGTTAGTTGATATGAAGTAATTGTACACCGCTAGTGATAACAAGTTACATCAATATAACTAGCGCTTTTAACCAGGTATCTAATGATCCTCCTTAGATAGTGTATTGAAATGCAATCATTTGATTAAATTAAGAAATGTAATGGATTATAGTGAAAGATTTTCATATTATTTCCCACTTCTTCCTACCCTCAATTTTTATTCATAATATCGTTTATTTTAACGCAGATAGCTAGACAGGATTAGAACAAGATGACTACTGAATCTGAAGAAAAAGCTCTCCGCTATAGGAGAGCTCAAAGTGTTTCGAAAGCAGAGGAAATAACTGAACAGGAGAAGAAAGTTCGAAAACTGCAACTGGATAAGCCGTAAGTTTTATTTTTCTAATATTTTCAACAGGAAAGTGTGTCTAACAATATAAGAATATCATTACCAAGTCTGAGAGTAGCAAAGTAGTTATATGATTCTTGTTTGAGTTGTTTACTATTGGCTTATTATCATGTGGCTCCGGCTACCAAGTAATCTATTTTCTATTAGAGTAGATCTATTTTCTGATAATTATAATAAAGATAATTATCATAATTGTATATTCTTTTCTGTTAAAAAATAAAATTTACTCATAATGAGATTAATTGGTTGAATTCTGATAAGACACAGTTTGTTATTTAATTCTTATTCTTATTTAAAAGTACTAATAATAGTGTTTTGTTTCAGTATTCACACTCCCAGAGATTCCCTCTTCTCATGGAGCTCAGAGTTCAATGATTTCACCGGCCTTGTTAACTGGGGCTTCTTGATGCTCTCTGTCGGAGGAGTCCGATTAGGTCTTGAAAATTTCTTAAAGTAAGTATTTTGTTTGTCAATGAATTCATTTATTTCTTGTATTAGTATATAAATAATAATTTAATATGAGTAAGGGATTAAATAAGGTTTATCTGATTAGGTTCTATTAAATATTTACTATTAATAGAAATATATCTCTTTGTGTAAACATTGAATTCTACCTATTCCAAATTTGATTTAGTAAACTTCGAGTTGCCTATATATTAACAAAAAAACTTTTTCAATAGTTTTCTAAACCTTCCACTAATCTTGATTTATTTTTTTCTGTTGTTCAGAATGACAAATCAGGTATGTAAATTATGCTAATTTTATTACAATTACCACTAGGTACATGCAACTACATGCGAATATATTTGGCGTCAAGGTTGTGAAGTACAAAAAAAACTTGTGTAGTAACTTAGTAACTTAGCAATAAATTCATTACAGATAGCCAAATAATACATAGATTCTAACAATCTTACATAGATAATAGATATAATAAATAACTTGTGTTTATGCTTATTGCCAAATACATGTACATTGTACTTAACTATATAGTAGTGAATTGTGCACTTTGTATCATGACGTCATACTCATTCTGTGTTTATTAGCATTGACCAATGTCCAATGGTAATTATTTGACCTTACGCAAGGCAAGCGAGATGTTGTGAAGTTTCCCGAAGAAATAAATTTAAATGTAATGATTTGAAAGTACTTGGCATAAATGTTTTTATTTTCAGGGTCAGGTAGGTAATAGGATATGTGTATTTTATACAAATTAGTGCTTTAGCCTTCTGAAAGACCACACATTTGTTAGAGGAGGAAAAGGTTTGTTAGTAATGTGTGATTCCTTTTCTTCTTCCTCAGTCATTGATCTGACTCATTCTGTCAGATTTGTCTAGTCAGAATGATTTGATTTTTTTTGCTACCTCATTGGTCGCGTCATAAATACGAAAGGGATTCGGGCTTATTTTCCGAGCGTCTGGCGCGTCTCGAAGAACACACCAGATCATCAGAGACAGCTGTGGCGTAGGAACGCTAGGAATAAGGCAGGAGTAGGAATGGGGTGGTTTTTAATCAGTAAGAAACTAGGCGCTCTCGCCAATCTCAGGGTGGGAGCATTTGATTATTAGATTTTCCGACTGTACAAAAAAGTTCTCCCTTATCACATAATTGCTGGCGAAAAGTGTACAAGTTTACAACTATTATCCCTTTACGCAATATGCGTGTTTCATGTAATCTATTCATTATTAATATCTTGTATTACAGATATGGATTACGTGTAAACCCGCTTGAATGGATCGTAGTGTTAACCGGTTACAATGAAGGTGATCGAAGCCAGTACCCTTCAGTTATTTTGATAGTTTGTGAGTATTTCATATGGTTATCTTTTTCCATTTTAAAAGGTCACAGAAACAAAGCTTACGAATAGAGCATTAGAGCCTCTTTCAATTATCTTGTTTTGAAAAATAAATCTTACAGTAATGTACTTAGAGTTCATTTTAAAGTAATAACATTGTATTTCCTGATTTTGATTTTTTTCTGTTTTGTTTTCAGTTAGCATCGTGCCTATCGTTCTAAGTCTACTTATTGAAAAGGAATAGCTGTTGTAAGTATTACCTAAAATATGTTTTTGAATGTAGAACGTGATTTCAAAGAAGGACTAATCCTGTTTTTGTTGGTTTTAGGATTTAATTCCAAACAAGTTTGGCATCATATTGCAGATAACTCATTTACTTCATGGTATTACTGCCTATCGCAGTCCTACATTACAGGGGCAACGATTTTAGTTTTGGTAAATATGTATAAAACTTTTAGTCATTAGTCTTAATATCTCAACAAATGTCGATAAAAAATAGAACAAAAAAAGGTACGATACACAATTATTAATCATGATTTGCATTTTTTTTTCAGTGGGTATAACATCAGTATGTATGCTCTACTTGATAATATTTTTGAAATTGTGGAGTTACACTCAAACTAATTATTGGTGCCGCCTTGGATTAAAGAAGAAGTATTCGGATACTAAACTTCGCAGGCAGAGTTTGTCTGCACCCAACTGGAGTAAGTTGATTAATGTTATAGATAAAAAATACTATAAGGCTGGTATTGCATTATCAAACTTAACATTTTGTATATCCATAAAATCTTGAAAAACGACTGCTATATTCTTTTTGGAGATTAGATGACTTTATTCTTAGTGTTAAAATCGAATAGTGATTCGACACTAAGAATAAATATTTTCTTTTTTATAAGACTGCCTAATGAAGAGATACATTTTCTACAATGATAAACGGTTTAGAAAGTGTTTATCATATCAGTGTTATACCGGCCTTAAAGGTCACGACACCATCAAAATTGAGTAATATTTGAGGACACAGAGTTTAAAGGTTGTTCAATGATTACAGATAAACTTGTTTCGGCTGACCAAGAGCGTAAGTTTGATATGGTTTTGTGTGTGCCCACTTCCTTATAAAAAAAACTTATGTTTTCCTTGCTTTGAGTGCCGTTTTTTTCTACTTCTTCTAATAGAGTGTGTTTTGTCTATGTTTCTTTGAGGTTTCATTGTAGTTATGCAGAGTAAAACCGCTTTGGTTGCAGTGTTGTAGAAAAATCAGTAGACCATTGCTTGCCTTCTATTAGCATTTATTATAGAAAATGTAATTCTTTATCGATTATTGCACTTAATTCTTTTATCGTCTATTACGTAAGATTGTTTTCGGCTCCTAGAAACACTTTTACGTCTGTTATCACATCCTTTTACTATCTGTACTTATTCTTTTTATCTGCTAATCTGAAGTTGCGTGAAAGACTTGTGTAATATACACTAATCGCACTTTAAGTCAATATTTGATAACTACTAATGGACGATTTCAATGTACAAACTATCTGGATTAGTCTCTGCAATAGAAAACTATTTATTTTGGACAAAGTTATCGATAACGCTAAGTAATTTTAGACTATCTCTAATGAAATGTCGGTGTCTTCATTGATTGAAACTAGTACCCAATTTGGCCAATGAATATGTAGGCACATTAATTTAGCTGTTTTTAATCTCTACAACCGTCATCTAAGAACAATTTTATTATGACACTATATAATTGTGATACTGTATGTTGTAAATATAGCCAAATAACTTGCGATTGCGATATCAATTCAACTATATAATCAGTCAAGGCAAGTCTGGAAACTCAATCAGGATTAAGATAACATTCTAAGATTCAAGAGACGTACACATGTACAAGTAGATACAATAAGGCTTTTCACATTTAAAAAGTAATGACATATTTTAATTTTCACTAGAATGAAATAACACCTGATCCCAACGTTCTTGATAAGTCCAAACATTTTTTCTTTCATATAAACTGGTCACCACCGTAAACATGGCAGATGACAAAAATACTATCAAATTTGTTGAAGGCGTTTAGGAGTTAGTTAGTTTAGGACACACATTTTTCTAATTACTATAAAGGAATCCAGATAGATGTTTTATTGAAAATGTCCGTTAGGTTATCACCAACCAGTACCTAACTAATGACCCTTTCCCAACAGAGAGTAAGGAGGACCTAATCAATGATACTCCGGCTGCAGCGAGACTGACCAAGTACCCGGATAATCTGAACTTAAAAGATTTGGTTTACTTTATGTTGGCCCCCACCCTTTGTTATGAGTTGAATTTCCCCAGAACTGCACGGTTAGTTTTGAATGCATTTTTTTTTATTTTTAGCTGTAGAAGGTCGACTGTGTCACTTGAGTCAATTATGAAGTCGTTATTATGTAAATGACTGTGACTGGTAGGTAGACTGTGTTTAATAAATGCAACTATTATTTTTTACGGCATGACTCTCTGAGTAGTTTTTGCGTAGCGTTTCAAGTAGTGATAGAATAGTTTTAAGATAATAATAGTTTATTTGCGAATGCCAACTAGTTGAGTAGTTATTGATAGATGTATTTTGGAAGGACTATATTGCTGCAGTGATGCCAACTCGACGTCTAACTGCTTTATCACGAGCGCCCTATTTAAACTAAAGTGTTAATCATGTAGAGAGACTTGTCTCTCTTATACTTGTATTTGTCAAGTAGGTACAGGTGTGGTTTCGAGGGCAATAAACTCACGTTTTCTTAAAACAAACGTGATACAACACGTGTCCTGTAATCATGTTATCTTGATATATATCAATGCAAACACGAGAATATTATAAAGCACGTGGCGTTTTGTTTACTTAACGTCAAAATTTTGAATGATCGTTTCACGTAATGCGGAGTTGTTAAACTCAATATAGGTACTTAAGCCAGACATGACGACACGTTTTATTTGTGTCCTTTAAAGGTTAGCAGGAAAATCAAAGGCTAAGAGTTTTACCAATAGAACCAAAGTTTTTATTAAATCTTCCTTGTCCAAATCTCTTTAACCGACTTCAACACATCGATGTCTTGAAGGACGCAATATTAAAAATACATATTTTTTACGGATAATAAAAAAGTAGTTTTAAAAGTATAACCACATTGTTAACGATATCTATTTCAGGATCAGGAAGCGTTTTGTAATTAAAAGAGTATTGGAGCTGTTCTTCGGGATAAATCTAGCTTTGGCATTGTTCCAACAATGGATGATACCCACCATCACGAATTCTGTGGAGACTTTCACCAAGATGGATCCTATAAGGATAACGGAGAGATTATTGAAATTAGCTGTAAGTCTATTTTTGAAAATTGGCTTTTTTTTGAATGACTGCTCCCACCTGGGTGAGGCGGGAGGGAGTGTCAGACTCTTACTGACTAAAAACCACCCCGTTCCTTCTCCTGCACGTCGAGCCGGAGCCCCGGTTACCCGTTAGGTTCTCCGCGACTCCGAATCGGCATCGGCCCTATTGGGCCCCATCTGTGGTGGTCTGACGGCTCTTTGAGGCGCGTCGCGTTCCGCGCGCGCCTTGCTCGGGTCTGTTTCTGGTCGGACGGGGAGCCACCCATGCTCGCCGTCCGCAGGCCCGCGCTTACGGTGGCCGGAGATCGTCCCGCGATCCCCGATGAAAATTGGCTTAGGGCCTAGATATTTGTGCTTAGCGACACGATATTTACGATTCTAAATATCCAGAGATTTATAAAATACTAGCTAGCAAATCGATCCAGCCATTCTTAAGTTGTGGCGTGACAACGGGAAACGGGTTTTATTTTTATATATTTGTACATAGATTATTTTTTTTAATTCTAAGTTTTTTGATACGGCTCGTTACATCACCACTTAGTTATGACAATAGGTTTTGAATATTACTAATACAAATATTTGGCATTCCATTCAAACATCCTGAATACAAATGTGCGTAATAATTCAAGGTCTACTAAAGAATATGCTAACTTTGTTACAACACGTGCCATGTACAGTACCTGCAGCAACAGCCCGTGGCAGTCCGTGTTAGACTACCTATAGGCCTCCCTACCTAAGAGGGGTTTGCATTATATATTCGATGGGCCGTCGTTTGACCACTATCTCGCCTGATGGTGGATCGAAGATTGCAGTATAAAATGTTCCGATTTAACAGAAAGTGCTCCAATCTTCCGACTCTTAAGGCACTCGATCGGAGACATTGTAATGACAAATGTATTCGGTTCTATTGTACGGCAAATGTATACGGCAAAAAGTAATAAAACCCAAGTGGAAGAAACATAATACCAGCAGTCAGACTGCAGTTTTGAAATAGAACAAATTGTCTAAATGCTAGTCGCCCACGCAAGTAGACGGTGCACGAGACTTGCTAATGAACTGGCAAGTCGACAAGGCATAAAAATAATTACGGATATCAAGCCCCTACCAATTGGCTCTCATTCATACAGTCATTTGTACAAGTGCTAGACATCTTGACCGCCTTACTGATCAAACATTTTAACAATAATAATTGCTGTTGTTAAGCATGATTAGAACACAAGACTGTTCGATTTTGATCTCGGAGAATAATCGTTTTCCTTGCGAATAGCAATTTTAATCTTTGAGTTTCTGTCTAGCGAATTCATAAGACAGTTGCCGGAATACTGAAACGTTACTCAATTTTAAGTCGTGCTTAAATATCATGCCATCTCTGTCATTTTACAAAGAATTTGTGGAGACAGAACTATACTTAAGCGTTAACTTAAAATTGAGTAGCGTTTGAGTATTCCGACAAGTATCAAATAGTGGGTCTTATATTAATGTTTGATATTTTCTAGCAAAAAGGTTAGTTTACTAACTACTATGTATAGGTACTTAATTTGTAGATTTGATCTAGCTACATGCTACTTTCTTCAGCCTTGAAATTCTGCACAGGTGCCAAGTGGTCATCTTATTGTTGGGTGATCAAAGAATGTTTTAAAGAAATAAATCCATTGTTCTGCGTTTAGTACTCTGCTCGTGCATTTGTTTTTAGAACCCGCGCATCTAATGCGTATGACTTTTTCATTCATAGTTTTATTTTATATCCAACTTTTCGCATTAACTGTTGATATAACCGTCTTTGAGTTAGTGCCAATATTATGAACGTATTAAGCTTCTCCAAACTATCTTATAGCTACTTCAAACTAGCTCGTATACTACATAAGTACCTAAATAGAAATAATATCAAGATATGAAATCCAGCTTAGTCGAATTTATATTGTAAGTTTTACCGTAATCGATAAAGCCATTTTCGAAATGATTTAGTAGTATATATAGAGTAGTTGAGGTGTGGAGTTCCAAAGCACTATAAGCACTGCAAATGAGATAATTTTTATTTTCTAAAGAACTCCAACTAAAGAAATCGTGTCTTAATTTTCCAGGTACCAAACCATCTGCTCTGGCTGTGTTTCTTCTACCTGACCTTCCATTCGTTCTTAAACCTGATGGGTGAGCTGCTGCAGTTCGCTGATCGCAAGTTCTATGGAGACTGGTGGAATGCCAACAATATATCCGTGTTCTGGAGTACTTGGAACATGCCAGTTCACATGTGGGCGGTCAGACACGTATACAAACCTATAACTGGAATGGGATTCAGCAAGTTCAACGCTGGAATCGTTGTTTTCGCCATATCTGCGTTGTTCCATGAATATTTGGTGAGTACCTTTTGTTGAAGCCACTGAGAGACGCGATTCACATCGAATTTAATTTCATAGTTCTAATTGGGATGATGACAGGGTATGAAAATTAAAAATCTAATTAGTCCGTATGTTAGGTAATGAAAAAATATTAAACACGTATTTTTTTATTTTGTCGTATAATAAAACAATACTTAGATAAAACGAATCAAAGTTTAGGAGTGGGGGCTAAAACGTCATTTCTACGTATAAAATATACATAGAAGTGACGTCACGTGACATTTCAAATCAATATATCGTCGATAGTATTCGTATCTGTAAGAAAATAAAAAATACGTGTCTAATGATTTAAAATAATCTACCAGACGGACATTAAAATTAAAATTAGGCATTTACCCTATTACGGTAGTGTGATCTCCAAGCCGTCATGCCAAAAGCGAGGTTTATGGCAAAACGTGAGATCTTTTTTCAGCAGTGGATATCTTCTGATAGCGATACTGAACTGTAAAATTTTACTTGTTGCACTTTGTGTGATACACAAAAACGCAAACAGGTTAATTTTCTAATCAATTTACAAATAACACTTAATACATTGTTACAGGTCAGTGTGCCACTACAAATGTTTAGGATTTGGGCATTCTTAGGTATGATGGCCCAGCCACCATTGGCGGTTATCTCTCGCACTGCCGAAATAAGGCTCGGACCGCGTTGGGGCAACATTATGGTGTGGAGCTCCTTAATCCTCGGCCAGCCTCTCGCCATCATGATGTACTACCACGATTACGCCATGTTGCATTTCAAACCAACGCCAGAAGTGCCATAATTGAATGAACTTATGTGGAGATTATTAGTAAAAAGGTTTTGTAGCACTTTATAAAATATATAGAATATTTTATTTATTATAGCAAATACTTATTGTTATGACAAAGTATGTTATTCACTCGTTCTTCATCCAGGTGTTCAAATATATGTAGGTCATGTAGGTGCATGGTAATTAGTCACATTTTTGTTTCATACTTTATCATATTTAAAAGTGTTGCAAAATTTTTTTCGTATTTATTTATTAGAAATACCTATTACAATAATATTTATGAAATAATTGTAATCGATTGGTTGTTTTAGTCAAGAATTTGCCAAAATTTTTATATATGAAATAATAATAATTAATATAGTTATAAGAATAATTATTTTATACATTTTAAGTCAAGCAATCATGTGTTCTAGTTATAAGTTATACTGTAGTAGTTGAGCTAAAAAGTTTTATTTATGGTGTAGGTTGTCGACGATTTAGGTGTTAGAACATGGGGCTAATTTTGGTAAAATTTAAGTCAATTTTGTAGGGCTGTCTCTTGGACAGATCCCTCTTTTTCCTGAATTTCTAGCATTTTAATTAAGACTGAACGCACTTTGGTGCTACACACTATATTGTGATATTCTAGGCCATGTCTCGAAAAAAAAAACTAAAGGAATCATACTTCTTGTATAACATTCTTATTATGCGTTTAAAATGAGAACTTATGAACATTTTTTTTTTAGTACAAATAATCATGGGTAATAGCTATTTGGAGAGAATGTAACCTTTATTAACTCTTTTACTGTGCAATACAGGAAATTATGAATGCTATTTATTATTTTTATAGTCATATTGTAAATCATTTATGATACAAAAGCATTTAAATGAATTTGTTATAATTGGATTTATATAATGTTCAGTAAGTATTTACTTACTTATATGTTTTGTACTTTTATAAGAATATAAAGTAATTTTTGATAATTTAAAAGTATTTTATTTTACGCTATGTCGGGTTGAATAGACTGAGCTGCGGAAATAGTTTCGGAAATTAGATTTTGGCATAGTACAAGACACGTTTGCAGTCGTAGAAATACCGATCGTTACTGCGTGGCTGTATACACGTGACGTTTCTTATATTAGCTGGCATGCGCAAACGCACGTGAGAAAGACACGCTGAAGAAATTATAAATGTATATGTTCGACCTTGGATATGTCCGGGCACAGATTATGTTCGGGATGCCACTGATTACGTGATAACAAAAATATCTCCGTCATATTCAACCTTTGACGCGCTGTAGGCATGTGCAGAGGTCGATGAACCCTTATCTGATTACCTTGAACTCTAATACGTATTGCTAATAGTGTGATCTATACACGATTTGTTTTCATGACGAGACGCTACTTTGTCTAGTTAAGTGTAGGCAATTAGCTGAATAGTAAAACTAGGAAAACTGCGATGCCCTACTTATTTTAATTTTATGATTTTATGCTGACCGGAATTAATCTTGCAAGACCAATGCAATAAAGATGTCTTCAATATAAACCTTTACGCCTTGGGATAAGATTTATTATTCCTTAATTGTTTGTTAATTACTTTTTTATAGATAGGTAGTCTAATTTTCAAATATCGTCAACTAATTGTATTGCATCTTTGTAAGCACAATTATTTTTAGGGATTTCCATATACCGTTTTATCACGTACAAATTGAAAACTGCTGATTAAATAACCTACCTATTATTTATTCTAGATAATATAAAATTTAACACGTCTAGAGCCACCTGTTGTAGCAAAGTGGAACTAAAATCGAGCGCGGATTTCATACAAATACAATAGTTGTGCTATTCTTAGCTAAGCAGGAATAAAAATAGGGTTGGGGAAGACGTACAAAAGTTTCTTTCGCTGAGGATAGATGTCACTACTGTGGAAATGTCGCCACATTACCATTGAAATAAAAATGTGGAGGGAATCACACGTTCTTTTAAACTTGTATACTTACTAGCTATTGCCCTTGACTTTGTTCCCGAACCAATTTTGGACAATCGCTTGGTAAATAAGTACATCGTACTGGTGAGCATAAATTAATTCTAGGTACGTACAGTGTAAATTGTTATTATTTAGTTTGACCTAATTTTTAATGTCATGAAGACCTCAAAACTTCGTTTTTGAAAAAAATAAGCAAAAACAATACAATTTTCTTTAGGCGATCCATTTTCGACACATTTTCATTTCACGAATCCAAATTTAGGACGTTTGTAGTTTGTTGGAAAGCGGATCGTCGTCCTATTGAGCTGCGGAGGGCGAGGAATCAATTGATGAAGAGGTCTTGATAACGGGTCGCGAACGTGTCCCGCCTCTGGAAGCAAACCTCTTGTGACTGGGGTCGCCTGGCTTAACCGAACCATTCTTATCATGTTTCCTGTTGCATAATAATAACAATGCTGAACATTTGAGATTATATTCTTGAATATTCATTTGATTAATTTATTGTCTTCGTGTTTACTACTTGTCACCACTTCTGATCTTCCCACGGGTTTCGTTTCGTATTAGCCATTTAAAACTGGACTGTAACGGACTATTCATGGTGTTAAGGATTTTCAAAGAAATAAATACTCACCTACAAGATAATACACTTTATTCTCCTGCCAACAGAATCCGAAGTTTTTTGCTTGTCAGTCCCTCAGGCGAGTGGTCAGTACTTACCCAATTAACAAGTTATTGAGAATTACTCAATGGACTTGCTTGCTATAACAGTGGGCATATGATTTACGAAAAGTTGGAATCACATTATTTTAATGTGTTCACTTCTGCCTCCCCCTTTGGGAATAAAGCGCGTGACACTTATTTGACGGTCACACTTTAAGGGACCATCCAACCAAAAAGACTGTTGCAATGCTTGCAATGTACATAACATAATTTTATGTCACTAATGAATCGTAATACCATCTAATTGTTAGATGGTTAGACAATAATAAACGATTAATTATACAAAAAGCTGCTAACTACCCAATACCACGCAACCCACATACTGTTTGATTTGATGAAATAATTTGATGTACGCAGTTTCAAAGTGGGCAATTAACAAAGCTAGGTTAAACAGAAGTGGGATACGTGTTACCTTCGGGTTAATCATGTAATAACATTTGCGGTGCGCGCTACTAACAATGTTGACCGTGGCGAGCAAACAGTGCTGGCAACGTCAGCTCACGGCCCACCGAGCCCGCGCCGCACTGCCGGCTGCTATAACCCTATCGCTCTAAGTAGGTAGATATTATATCTATCCATCCATGTATTTACCTACACAAATTAAAATATTGGCCAATGTATTTTCTTTAACAATGTTCTTTTCTGATGTTGTTTAAAGAATATCTTAACTATTAATAATCTTGTCATCGTTGAGCTGAAGATGTGTTTAAGAAATTATACTTAGAGCCTTCTTCTTAACTTGCTGCCCTTTTTTTGTGCTGCCCTGACCTCACCTTATCTAAGTTGTCAGAATATTTTGACATTTTATAGATATACCTACTATTAGGTTTTTTTTTAAGGGGTGAAAATCATCGAATGGCTGTTCCTGCCTAGGTGAGGCGGGAGGGAGTGTCAGACTCTTACTGACTAAAAACCACCCCGTTCCTTCTCCTGCACGTCGAGCCGGAGCCCCGATAACCCGTTAGGTTCTCTGCGACACCTACTATTAGGATTTTTTTTTTAACGGGGAAAATCATCGAATGACTGCTCCCGCCTGGGTGAGGCGGAAGGGAGTGTCAGACTCGTAACCTGCTAGGTTCTCCGCGACACCTACTATTAGAATAGGACTGATAATTAAAGTCCCGAGCCACGAAAGGCATCACGAGTGTATTCACAATTAGTCGGTCAGTGCGAGAATCGAATTTCCGACGTGTGGCGGTAAAAACGCTTACTCAACCAGTATGCTCACTCCATTGGCCTCCATTAGCTCTAACTATTCCAAGTTAATAGATTAAATATCTAATATTCTTTATTAAGTAGAATAGTAACGAATAATTGAATTCAGAATAAAAAATTAGGCAGAATAGGAAAAGCACAAACAATAGTCATTGTAGGTACACAATTAGCATTGTAATTTAATTACAAATCAGAGGGTATTGTCTTGCAATAACAAGCATATCGTTTCAATTATTAAGGGATAATAAGGAAGGGGTTGAACGTTCGCAGTGGCAGGTCACGCTCACCCAGTGATTACATGTAATTCGCGATTATGAACCAACCACCGAACCCCTCTGCCTCGTGGGCCACCACGCGTGAAATCACTTTGTTCTACAGTTAGCCTCCTCGCTGCCTTGTTCTGTATTAATTAATTGGATATGATAATTCATAAAGAAGACATGGATGCTAATTTGTTTTCGAAAAGTGAATTTATATGGCAACGCAATAATTAAAAGTTTCGAAATGCATGTACCTAAGAGTATGTATTAATTATTACACATTAACTTAAATATTATATTTCATGGGATTACAAACAATAGCTGTACGTTAGACAGCTAAATAATTACAATTATGAGAAAAAACCTCGAAATGAGTAGTGATAAAAGTTGTGTACCACTATCGCTGTAGATCGCTACGTAAAAATGTTAGTTGTAGCACAGGTGCTACGAAACGTAGCACCAATTTCAATAAAGTTTTTTTTAATGCAAAACATATCAAGGGTATCAAGGGTACAAATAATATATACTTATGCAGTTTTGTTTTAAACAACAAAATGATAATCTTAAATCTTAAATGATATACGTACTACTTATACAGATACAGTATAATTATGGACGTTCGTACGTGATATCCATAGAATTCGCTACTATGCAGAACCTACTCAAGTACACGTATATTTCGTAATGTATGTCATGTTATTATTATATTATGTTATGATATTATCCTAGTATTAGCGAACTTATGTCAGTGAAAATAAAGGCTGTACGTGTATGCGCGCGTCGCGAAACGTCATTGGGTCGGAGGGCGGAGTTTCGCGCCGCCCTGTGTCGCGGCGGCAGTCCGCTCCAGGCCGGCGTGCGCCCCGCACGGCCCCATGGTGGAACACGCGCTCGTCGATTGCTCCCAGGCGAGCGCCATGCAGACCCTGCCCCCGCAGCCGCACCGAGATGGCGAAGACGATCAGCTCGCCGACGAGTACGTGCAAAACTTTGAACTCGATCATCTCGAGGACCATAATGTTGTGAAACGTGAACCTCTCCGTACTGGCTGGCAAGAGATGGTGGAGCCGCCACCAGCCTGTGCTCGGGCATGCCGACCGTGGCCTGACGCGGGCCCGTATCCCCAGCCACACGTAGCTATCGCTGTGGACCCCAGTACACCTCCGGAGACGCCGCCAGCGCCTGTTGGCCGAAGTCCCTGTCGAGCAGCGCTAGTTGATGACGTTCTTTGGCTTCCACACATGCGAGAACCGCTCGACATGCGTACAGTTCCTTGTGGCAGTTTTGAAGAATGGGATCGTCGTGAGTGGCGAGAGCAGGAACACCACATGCAACAGGTCGCGCTGCGGCCAGCCAGCTCCTGCTCAGCCATGTCTCCTCGAACCGGACCTCATCCATCCTATCAGCCATCCTCCTGTGGGGATGACCTCATAAGTGACGACTTGCTCATGACGTTAAGTGTACGAGAACTCAACAAACGACTTCATGGTTTCCCTCGGGAAGATGTTACACGGCTTAAGCAAAAAGACGCACACTGAAAAACCGTGGCTACGCGCAAAACTGTCGCAGCAAACGCTTGCAACAACGACAGGAGCTGGAGCTGACGAACCGATCGCTGCAGGACGAGCTGCACGTGCTGCAGCTGCAGGTGGCGCGAGTGACCCACGAGCGCGACGTGCTGAAGCAGCGGCTGGCGCTGGTGGGGCGCGAGCACGCCGTGCCGCAGCACGCGCCGCCCACACCGCACTCCTCCCCTGAGTTCTTCTCGGAGCTGTGACGGCAGGGCGCGGCGCCGCGGCCCGGCGCCTCCGCCGCCGCCTCGTCCTGCGCCTGGCAGCGCTACTGAGCCGCCGCTGCGTGCTGGCGCGACTCACAGGGCCGACTTTCGTGCTTTTGTTAAGTTTGAAAATGTAATTATCATCAGTTCCAGTTCTATAGTTTCTTTTATTATGGTGGAACAATGTGGCCGTCACTCCCGTCGGGAGCGGCTTTCAAGCACCGTGTTAAATATATGGTTGTGTCGTAAGATATGCATAGCTTCGTTAATCTATATGTATTATTAAAATAAAACTTTATGCATAAGTTAAGAGTCAAAAAACTGATTATTCGAATAACTGTAAATAGGTACATAAATGACGAACTTTAACTTTAGGAGGATTTGTGTTTTCCTAATAAAATATTTCTGAAAATACTCTTTTATTTATCTTTTACATACTTGTAAATAGGTTTGCAATGACTTACATGCTTGCAATACTGTATTAGATCTACATATCCAGTGAAATACTATGCTCAATGAAGCTATAAAATACTTATAATAAACATAACACACCTTTTTTCTTACATGTTTGATCATTGTTTTCATCAAATGAGTTACAGCGAGGGAAATATTGTAACGTTCGCTTATGGCATTGTTTTTGCAATTATTACAATGCATTAAAAAAATCTAAAGTTTATTTGTTGCGAATATCCAAACATATCTTGAGTTGTGTTAATGTAATGCTTGATTTTTAAAATTGGTTTTATTCAAAAAGTTCATTTCATAATTTCATTGTAACACATTACATACTTAGTTTACCTACTAAATGCATTGAAACATTTAAAAGCAAAGATAAGTTAAATTAATAATCACATAAACTCATTTGTATTTTCACATGAAATACGTCATAATTATCACGGAATAGAAAAAACTTACTAATCCATGATAATAATTAAATTTTCCATAGCTAACTAGCTAACTAATATTGTGGTAACCGCCAAAAATGAGTAACAGATTACATATTCTTTCTTTCGATGGTAACCGAGTCTTCAATACAATGTTGTCGACTATACAGCCAGTATTATACAGCTTTTATTTTTTATACAAATTCCATGTGGAACCAATAATGCTTTTGCAGGTATATTGTAGGTATAGTAAAAAACTTCGTATTGAAGATATTTCTTTTAAATCGTAATGTTCAAGTATTAATTAGTTGACACTAATTTATATTTATTGTTGACTCAACTTAAATTGTAAGCACGAGTCCAATGACTTGTTGATGTTGGTTGCGAAACTCAAAAGTTGATGACAACACGAATCGCACAAAATCGATTGCTAAAGAGTTGCAGAATTGAGGTCATCGTCGATCGATAGGTAAGTAATTTGTATTGTTTATTATAATATTTTATTATAATTTAGTTGCTTAGGTATTTAATTCTTTCAATTTATTGATTTGAACATGGAAACTGATGACTTTCCATATAAATACATTTTGCATTATCTATCGATGTGGAACTTAAGATAACGATGATTAGGTACTCGCTTAGGTTCGTTTGAGTCCTCCTTATAATTTTATTGGTATATTATGTAATAGTTGCAAGTACAAGCTAAGTCTAATAGGTGGATTTGATTCCTGGATTCACACTGTGTCATTTAACACAGTGAAATTTGCAGTTTGATAGTGTTTCAGTAATACGAACCTGTCTAAATTTTTTAGTGCAGATAATCGATATTCGGGATCCGAAAAGAGATGTTTGATTTGAAACCCGAATTTTAAAAATAATTTGCTGATGATATTAGCCATTAGGTCTAAATCACAAATAAATCAGAAAATATCTTCCAGTTTAGTAAGTCTCTGTATCATGGAAAATGGAGTCCATTTTGCCACGTGCCGAACGAAAGTAAACATTGTTGTTTACATCTAAGTTTGGGATAGAAACATCTGCTTATTACGATTATATTAATTAATTTATTATTGTAAATGATTCATTCTTACGTAAACTAATGTTTTTCTCTTGATACAAGACATAGTTGCAGTTTAATGCCTTTAGTACTCAGACTCGTGTAGGGTTCTTGATCTTACAGTGAACTTTGACGTCGGGTACATACTCAGGGAATTTCTTCATTTTTAACTTAGCTAGCATAGCTATACCTTTAGGTATTAGTAATAATAAATCTCGTAGCTGAATTATAAAGGTACCAGGTAATTAATTAATCTTTTGTGGCCTCTAATCCAGTGTTAAAGGGAAAAGGTTGAAACCATGAAACCATGGAACAAATATGTAAGTGAAACGATAATTGATATTACTTTTTACCATTATCATTATCGATCATCATTAACCGTCCATAAATGCCACACTGCTGAGCAAAACCTCTTTTCACACGGAGAAGGTTTGAGCATTAATCACCACAATTACAAACTTATAATTAGAAATTATATTCCCAGGTTTCCTCACGATGTTTTTCTTCACCGTTTGTCAGTGGTGTCTAGATAATCTTAGAAAGTACATATAACTTGGAAAAAGTCACATAGGTTTGCCGTTTGTAGGTTTCGAACCCGCAGCCTCATGCATGAGAAGCGTCGGCGTCGTAGACCTCCGGGCCACCATGACATTATTAACCATTATAATGATTGCTAACATATCTAATGACGAGATTTTAGACAGGTTCGTCGCCAGCCCCTATTTATGTAGTTTAGGTATTGGTGAAAAGTCCATTTGGTAGATACAACACTAAGTCGCCCTCTGCCTATTCCTTCGAGGAATAATAACGGCAAATAGTTTATAAATCAGTTACAAGAATTAGATTAAGACAAAAGCTGTGTCTGTATGAGTTCCGGCGCTCTGGTTGAAGCGATAACAACAATGTTGCTAGTACTCATTATAATAAACGTAGGTACTAATATTACTGGACCCACGACACATCGACACACGGCGGGATTGGTAACTCGACACTGTATATTGTTATTAGAAATAACGGCGTCATATTCTTTGATAACAAAGCGAAATACTAATAAATGTGACGGATATTGTGTCCGTTTGTTTTATAAGAATTCATTTTATAATAATAATTGTATTTTTATTATTGAGGGATAGTTTGATGTGCGGATATTAGACGTCTTCCATGGCCAATGTAATAATGGGAACCTATTTATTTCCATACATTAAGTATCAGAATGTATGCTAGTACTGAGAATATTTGACAATCAATATCTAGCGACGCGGCATAGTGTTGAAATATCAAGATGATGGTCGTTTATTTGATAAAAACAAGAGAATAAATAAAACTGAAACGATGATACTCTTTAGTCTTCTATGAAGTAGAAAGTAGGTTATCTTTTTTATACAATTGATGCTTTCAGCAAAAACTCTTCTAGTAATTAGCGATGATTTACTTAACTAACGATTTTTTATGGAATATGTGAGCATGGTGGATGAGACTACCACCAGAGAGTAGCATCACCAGGTGATGATTATAAGTAGATAATCGGTGTCAGTTGCAAAACTTATTTGGAGTTACAAGTGTGTTAAAACCTTATTCTAAAGCTAAACACAATGCTAACGTTGTTTCAAGCCAGCTTTCTGTGAGGCCGGGGTATTGTTCTGTTGAACTGGCCCATTCATACCGAAGCTTGGCTATTCCCGAGTGCACTACTCTACTTATACTCGTAAGTTTCGTAAGCACCTTATAATTTATTAAATTGTTGGACGTTATTTAATTTCTAGTATTATGACCGCCTCGTTGGCCGAGTGTGACTGCAAAGTCTCGGGTTCTATTCCCGGGTCGCGCAAAGTGTTACTTGGCTTTTAAAAAAATCTCAGTTGTAGCACGGAGTCTGGAATTGTGCCCGGTATATGGTAATAGGCTCAACCCCTATTACACGGGACTCATAACATAAATAGTGAAAAGTGGGTGTTACATTGTCTTTATCATCCAGTCTTTGTGCCCAAAAATGACCGCACTACCTATTCCTTTGGTTTTACAGTTAGTGGGTGATATTAATCACTAAATACCATTAGGTGACCTGTCTACTCTTTAGCTGGTTACATAAAAACCATTGTTATGTTTTTTCCTCATACTCTTTTGTCATATTACGGCCAGATACTGAATTTTATTACTCAAATTTAATGTGCCACGATATTGTGGCATCTCTGTCATTTTATAAAGAATTTGTAGTGAACTATAGGTAGGTACTTAAGCGTGTCTTAAAATTGAGTCATCAATCAGCATCCACAGCATATAAGTAGTCACTGCTGACCAAAGGCCTTTTCTTACACGGAGAAGGTTTTGAGCATCAATCACCACACTTGCTCAATGCGGGTTGGCGATTACAAACTTATAATTAGAAATTATAAGCCCAGGTTTCCTCACGATGTTTTCCTTCACCGTTTGTCAGTAATTTCAGTGGCGTTTGATTTTTTCGACATTAGTGTCTTATTATGAAGTTCATGTTTAGTTCATGCATTGTGGGCTGAGCTGCTGGACAGTTCTTTGTATTTTTAACGTGACAAAATAACTTTTAACATAAAATAATATTACGCCTTTTATCCCCGAAGGGGTAGGCAGAGGTGCACATTATACCACTGTACAATGTAACACTCACTTTTCACCATTTATGTTATGAGTCCCATGAGGTGAGCCTATTGTCAAATACCGGGTACAATTCTAGAATCCGTGCTACTACTGAGAATTTTTTAAAATCCATTAATACTTTGCCCGACCCGGAAATCGAACCGAACCGGACAAAATAACACAAATGGTGAATAGGTGTTTTTTACTGTA